GCATCCATGTCATCTCGAGTATAGCAAATTTTTCGATAGTGGCTTAATTATAATTTGTAGCAATTTTCTTAAAAGAAATTCCAATTAAATTATGAGTATTTTAGGTTAAAAGTGTTTTAAATATTATGAACTAAGAGTCTTTATTATTACGAACTTGGCATGTAGTAGTTCATCTGCAGTAAAGATTCAAACTCTGCTTATTTCTCACTGGTGATAGAAAATTGTAACTTGTAAATCCATAAGTACTACGAAGAAGTACATGACAGTAAAAGAACTATTTGTATTATGCCATTGCAAATACGTATTCATTTAATATGCGGTTAATCAGTTTTTTTATCGTATGCAAGTCTTATCAACATTAAGAACTGCTCGATAGCTTATCGATTCGGTTAATGGAAAATATGAAAGCAACTGAAACACCGACTTTGCTGACAGAAATAAAATTGGTTTTTGAAAGATTCGGATGAATTTCGGCAAGGTGTTTTGCAGATCAGGAGCAGATTAGTATCCGTACGATACTGATTCGGTATGTATATTACCGTTAGAATTAGGAATTACAGCTGATTAGTATATAGTATGGTTTTTAATTTTGGTCAACTTACAGATTACGATAACGCATCAAAAATTGATAAACCTATAATATTGAATAATTGTAAATTAATTAATTTAACTTGTCAAAATCTTGGCAGAAATAAAGAATCACTTTAAATCATTAGAAATTGATCCAAATGATACGGCTGTATTGAATAATCGAGGGATGACTTATTATTTACTGGCATTTGTATGTAAAGATTTACTTAAAGTTCTTAATAAATCATTAGAAAACGAAAAACAATGCTAATGCATTAAAATAGTCGAAGTACAAATTATAATTTGTTAGCAATTGCGGATTTCAATAAGGTATTAGAAATTGATCCAAATGATGTTGGTGCCTTGAATAGTCGAGGAATAACATATAATTTATTGGCACTTACAGATTTCATTAAGGCGTCAAAAACTGAATTAAATAACAATAAAACTACAAAACCGGATAATTATGAATTAACTTATTTGGATCTTGGCAAATACGAAGATTTACTTAAAGGTCTTAGTGAATTATTAGAAATTGACCCAGACGACGCTGATGCATTGAATAGGCGAAGCATATTTTATAATTTGTTGCAATTGCAGATTTTAATAGGGCATTAGAAATTGATCCAAATAATAATAAAGCTACAATATTAAATAATCGCGGATTAGCTTATCGAGACCTGAGAAAATATGAAGAATCGCTTGAAGATTTTAATAAATCATTAGAAATCGATCCAAATGACGCTATTGCATTAAATAATCGTGGATTACTATACCAATATATGAACGAATATGAATTAGCAGTCGTAAATTTCAACAAATCATTAGAAATAAGAAAAAATGATTTTACAACGTTGAATAACCGAGAAAACACTTATAATTTGTTGGCAATTTCAGATTTCAATAAAGCATTAGAAATTGCAAATTTCAAAGCATTAAAAATCGAACTAAATAATAATAAGGAAATCGAACTAAATAACTATAAAGAAATCAAACTAAATAACTATAAAGAAATCAAACCAAATGAAGATACAAGATTTAACTTATCGAGATTTAGGAAGATACGAAGAATCTTTCGAAAAATTAAAAGACATTCAAAAATTTGATAAAGGTGGATTCGGGGAAATTTATTCAGCAATTTGGATCGATGGCAAGCGAAAATATACAACTGAAAACAGAGAGATAAGGTTATCACGAGAGCAGAACTGCAAAGTTGCACTCAAAAGCTTAAATGATTCATCAAACTTTTTGAAAGAGGTGAGAAAATTTTAGTTAATTTCTCTCAATAAAGAATTAAGAAATATATTAATATTTTCATTTAAAGGTTAAGGCTTATTATGAATGTCAGAGTAAGAAACATGATGTGGAAAAATATGGAACTGAAACATATGGAATTAATACGCACCAGTTGAGGTACCGGATGAAGCATCGGATGAGGTACCAAATAATGCACCAGATGAGGAAAATTGCAGCAAACAGGGTAAAAAGAAATATGTTCCGGATAAAAACAAATATGTTATGGTTCTTGAATATGCAGATCAAGGCAATCTTCGAACATATCTATCAAAAAAAGAAAATTTTACCAACCTTTCTTGGAAACAAAAAATAGAAATTCTTTACTCTATATCAAATAATTTAAATCACATTCATAACATATCTCATCTTTGCCATAGAGATTTACATAGTGGTAATATACTTATGACTAGCGCTGCAGATCTTAAAGGTCTCAAGTTTAATATCTTTACTGTTGGTAGCAAAATAATATTAGTTTCACGAAATAATACCGGAGAAAAGCCAAGAATAGAACCAAAAATTACTGGTTTTGGTCAGTCTAGTAAATTAAATGAATTATCTACAATTACCTATGGTAATCTTCCTTATGTTGCACCTGAAATAATTAAAGGCGAAATATACACAAAAAAATCAGATATTTATAGTTTAGGTGCAATTATGTCAGAGATTTCAACAGGAGAACCCCTTTCAATAATGTTGATTTGTTGTTTGAAATTAAGGTTATTGGAGAACGAAAACAGCCGCCTGAATTTGCTTTAGGGACGCCTGATTGTTATGTACAACTTGCAGAACAATGTCTGGATTATGACCCAGAGAAGCGGCCAACCATTGAAGAGATTTATGAAAAATTGAATACATGGAAAAATAAGTCTCAGCAAAAATCCAGAAGAATTGGATAAAGAATAACTTGGTATAAGAAATAAATTTTTGGAAGCGGATAAGATTAGTTCTACGTTCAAAATAAGTAAAAGTAATTCTACATCATTGGCTTCTTCGCAGAAATATCAACGTATTGACACCTCTATCATTGCAGGTAATAATAATTCATTTTTGAAAAAAATTTTTTTTGAAATATAAGTTATTTTAAATTTGTAATTTTAATTATATAGCAAATTGTAATAATAACAAGAGTATTTGGATTTCGCATAGCAACTCAACTAAGCAATTAGAACTTGATTTCACCACCAATGTTTAAAATAACAATTTTTGGGAATCACGTCTGTGCGTATTAAATGGCTAGTAGTAAAAAAAAAGAAATAATATGTAAACGTTTTATTTGTTAATAATGAATTTGGATGGTGTTTATTAGTTTTTTTTTATACGGCGAAAATAGTCGATATATTATAGTGTTAAGAATCAACTAATTGGGATTACCAAGAACAAAAGGACGGGTGTTATATTATTAATAATTGATGAATTATTTTATTGTTGGAATTATTTTTTTAACGTATTTTTTTATACAAAACTTGTCGAATAAATGTAAAATAATATAATATAATATTATTATTTTACAGTTGTTTTCATAAATTTGGGACGTCTAGTGAAAATTTACTGAATAATTGTTTGGTCAATTCGATAAGTTTTTGATCCGCAGTGATGAACTTTTGGTTTGGACTTGATTCACATATAAAACTATATATATATATATATTTAATGCATGTCGACAGTGTTCTGAACGGTATTATAGTATTAACATATTCAATATTAATGTTTCGCTTGAATCATGTGTTTATTCTACGAAAGTTTATGGGGAAAATTGTTCTTTCCAACCAGCAGATCTTAAAAAACATAAAGGTTCCGAATATACTGAAGAAAGGGCATTAATAAAAAAAAGTTCTACAGTTAAACCTCTCTAAGTGCATCCTCTATAAGCGCACACCCTCATGCACACTCTGGCTCAAAAATATACTTGACCTATATAAATGCACTTTTTCTTACATTATTATTTTCTAAATGCATGTTGGTCCCACGGGAGTGCACTTAGAGAGGTTTGACTGGATTAAAAAAACATAACGCAAGTTATAATTTCAAACAACTAATATTTTATTAATACATGTCGAAATTGCGTTGAGAATTAAAGGCAACGAAATCAAAGCAAAATTTTATTAAAAGTTCTAATATATAATAAATATTATAAATGTAGCCAAATATAAAAGTATCATGAATTGTATCATGGTGAATTTATAAAATTAAGCCAAAATTCGGCTATTAAATCTGAGCATTTGGTCCCTTTAAATTTTAGTTACCAAATTACATATCAATAAATATCAATGTTAAATCTCGAAAAAGTTTTTTTGCCCTCTGGTCTTGATTGATAACGCATCTTCCCACTTTTGACTATCTTAATAGACATAGTAATTTCCGGAGCAAAGCTGAGGAACTTAAGGCCAGACAATAGGTGAGAAAAAAATTCCGGTGGGTTCCGGGTGTAGGATAAGAGCATAGGCAAAAAATTCCTAGTAATAGTATTTAGCACCTAGAAAATGTGTACCAGGTTGGGATAGGATGAAAGATAGGTCGGAATGATAAGAACATTCGGAACTGGAAACCAAAATTACGTATTTGCATTATCATGTTAAACATT